GAAACCGGAAGCAGGCTTGTTTTATTGGGGGTCATAACTTGCTCAACAACTAACACGACCAACACAGCCGTACATTTAACCCTTCACGCCGGGATGTTTTTACCGCAACCTACCTGGCTGCCGGGTTTATTTTTCCAATTTTGCTAACGGCAACCGCAGATGCCTGGATTGGCCACCAGGCCTATCTGCCAAGTTTGCTGGGTCACACACTCCACACAGCCTTGCTCTGTGTAGTCATGAACCCTGCTGTTGTATTTGGATCCCATTCAAGAAAATACCAGGTACCCAGCACTTGCCTTGCCCACGTGACAACACCAACTACCCAACGACACTCGGTCACAGCGGAGAAGTTCACACGGTCTATGCTTGCTTTTAGCAGGCACCGTGGCTCGTGTACCTGCTTCCCAGTAGTCCATGCATGCCCAGCATCAATGCCAAGCCCCAACTTGTACATTGAGTGCGCTGGACAAGTTTTTATTTCAGCTAAAACCCAGTGAAGATTTCTCGTAAAATTCCCCTAATGTTTTTATTTCACGCAAAGTTTGCTCATAATTTTCTTGCACATTTCTAAGTTGTTTTTTTTTGCAAGTTCTATTCAAATCTCCTTTCCGTATGTAACGGATATATATAAACAGACCCTTCTAAGTAAAGTTTGAACCATCCCATGAAAAATATCTTTCCAAACTAAACCTCCCAATAATTATAAAATAAACAGACACAATGATGACATGTCATTTCTTTTTTTTCTCTTCTCATATTTACAATCACTTTATCTTTCTTCAAAATTTTATTCAATAAAAAGGAACCTTCCTGTAAAAACTTAGCCAAAAAAAGAAAAAAAACAGAGCAGTTGCATTACATCATGTCTTCAAATTAGAGGAAACCATTATAAAAAAACTTAGCCAAAAAAGAAAAGAAAACAATGAGTAGTTGCATTACACAATGTCTTGACACAGGAGAAAATTTTACATGAATAAGTAATTGATTCAAGTATAATAAACCTTGAAGGATTTGCCTCAAAATTCATGTACTATTTCTTGGAATACAGAAAACTTTACATAAATACGCAATTGATTCAAGTGTGATAAACCTTGAAATAAGGAACAGCACAAAGTGGAACTTGGCTAATTTTACACATCAATTTAGTCACTTTTCTTTTACCATTTCTGGAACAAACATCATAAAATTTCATGTACTATTTCATTTATGATGTCTTGGAATACAGGAAACTTTGTATAACTAGGCAATTGATTTAAGTGTGATAATCCTTGAAACAAGGAACAGCGCAAAGTGGCACTTCACAAATTTCACACTTCACTTTAGTCTCTTTTCTTTTGCCATTTCTAGAACAAACATCACACCGTCTGTATAATCTAGCTCGGTTTCCAGTTCGGGGGATTTCTATAGCAAAATGTCTTCCTGTCAGTCTACCTGGACCAGGAAGACGGGTTGGTCTACCTCTAGATCAATACACTGGCAAATTTGGTACACGCAACTCTAAAATTTCACTCACCAACGTGTGTCTAAATGTCAAAAAACTGTCAGTGCCACCAATTTCCTTATGCACAAGATAAGAGTTCACAAGAGCAACATCAAGCAAAACAAAGAACAGTTTCTTATACCATTTGATTGATTATCTGACTGAATGGTGCGACGATGCCAGCTGGTCTGCAGTGTCCACACCCTTCATCCCCTCGTTGTAGTTGAGTACACACCTTAGTTTTTCCAAAGCGATGCCGTTGCGGTTCCCCTTTCCGGTGTTGGCCATCTCGGCTGTAGGCATCATGGATAGCATACGGACATCTTTTTTGTCTCATCAGACCAAGGAGAGCAAGCCTTCGTCACTGGAGTGGTGAACAAGCAATGTCACCTCTCTCAAGTTTCAAGGAGCACAAGTCCTTGGGCATATCTTGACGATTTTGTCTCACCGGCCTAACCGACGACGTTCGTCTTCTGGTCGTGTAGTTTCAGGTACAGATCTGGGCTGCTGAACCAGTTGTCCAGGAAAATGGTGTACCCTTTGCCAAGAAGATCGGCATTCAAGTCAAGTACGATTTCCGTACTTGCCAGTCCAGCGGTCTGGTCTTGACCGCTGTAAATCTTGAAGTTCCAGGTGTATCCAGCGGCAGAACCCATGCTCTGGCAGACTCGATTCACCTTGATGCTTCTTGGGGTTGTACTGCTTGAACTTCAGTCTCCCTTTGAATTTCCAAAAGAACTCGTCGGTAGTAATCTTGCTGGATGGAATGTAGACGGACTTGAACTTCTTGGTCAGTTCATCTACCATCTGGTGGAGCTTGTAGAAACGATCAGTCGCATCTGCGTGGCTGTTATTGATGAAGTGCAGGTACGTGTAGGCCAGCAAGTCCATAAATCTGTCCTGAGGCATGGTATTAGAAAAAAATGGAGTCTCAAGTATTAAGTCTCTCTTCCAGAAGGACTTCAAGTCAGGTTTTGGAATCAGTCCAATGACTATCATCATGGACAGGAACACTGACATCTCGCCTGATGTTGTGTTGAACCAGCTTTGCATGTGATTTGGACTTGCTTCTGGTTTACTTTTCGGGTGTTCAGCGGCATAGCGGTTGGTCTCGTTGGCAATGTGCAACGTCAGCTCTGGGGTGAAAAGCTGCTCGAAGATTTCGAGAGGAGTGCTGTTCTTGTCCAGCTCTTGTACTTGAACACCTGCTGTGCCTTGAAAGCTGTGTAAGCGGGGGAAGTTGTCATCAGCCGCCCATTAAATGGACAAAGTCTTGACCTTCTTGGCAGGCCTCGCTATTGGTGGTTGCCCATTAGAATCGCTGTCACTAGTTGCATTTTCTGAACTATGTTCAGATTCCGAAATGAAATCTGAACTATTAGTTGCGGTCAAAGTTTTCTCGTCGCTGGAAGACATCGTGTCATGCAACAGAAGGGCCTAGCAAATAAATGCCCAGCACTACAGCAAACGCTTCTTTCGACAAAACAAATAACTAATTACACTGAACAATGGCCCGTCTATACCCCGAGTGTGTGGTGTTGGTGTGCTGCCCACGTGTTCCCAGCCCAGCAGGGCCGTAAACAATGGCATGCACACCATGTCAATGGCCTGTATTCATCACGCTCTGGGCCCACACAAAACGCGTTGCATAAGCCCTGTCCACGGCCTCGAGCGCCGCTCCAGGGAGATTACCCAGGGTATTGAATCAAAGACAAAGGGGTGTTTTGATGAAAAAAAAACATTTACCAAGTATCAGGGGATCAACGAACTCTATAGGTTGCCCCAGATTTCCATTCAAAGCAAAGGTCCCAGTAATTACAGGTGTACACTGAATAAAAGTTGCATGTGTGGTATGCGGCTACAGTCGCCTCCCGGTTATTAGGCACGGCTCTTGCTGCGTCCCGGCATGAAGGGGTTAACTTTAATCAAAAAAGATTTAAGTGGGTCTAACCTCATGTTGTAGCGAAATGGACCCCACTGACTTGTTTATTTGTAATCGTCATTTGTAATCATAGGACCGAGGCCTACGATTTTTTTTTTAAGTTTGGCAGTAAGTCCCAGTCAGCTGAGCTTAGCCTAGATCTAGCCACTGCTAGGTCTAGTATTTTTCAGGCCCAGGCCTTGCTTAGGGCTAAATGTATTTCACAGTAACCAAATTCAAACATTACAAATAAAAATGTAATTGAAGAGGGCTTCACAATTTAGTGGATAGGTTTTTATGTGTCATCACAGTCAAACGGATAATTGCCGTAAAGCACATATGCAAGGGATTTATTATTGAATTTATTTATCTGATGTCTTTTCAGAACCAATCAGCTGCTTGTAAGAATTGCAATTCATTGACTATGAGAGGCCTGCAAATGTTGAGATGAGATCTACCCATGAGCAGAAGAGCCCCCTCACCAGCAAAGAAGAGAAAGTCCCTATGTGCCTCTTCAAACTAGCGCAAACGTGATTAGGACCAAACATTCCAAAGCTGTTATGTGTATATATTTGGCACTCTGTGTGCAAATGGAACACAAGCCTGAGTATGACAGTGACAGCTGTTGCTAATAGGAACATACAAATGCACTGTAAGTGTTCCAGCTCCGAGTAGCATAATTCATTGTTTAGAATAAAATGAAATCCCAAACTGAGATCCCAATGGGATCCCAGTGCCAGATCCCAGTGCAATGGATCCCACTGATCCCAATCCAGGCAGGATCCCAGTCTTGGCAGGATCCCACCATAAATGGGATTGAATCCCACCTTCAGATTCAGGCGGGATCCCAGTAACTATCCCAACAAATATTCCTGGTGGGATCCCACCCGACATCCCAGTGGGATCTCAGTGGGATCCTGTGGGATTCCCACCAGGATCCCAGTCACTTTTTTTCTGGGGAATAGGGGGCTTTGTACATAGTCAGTTCCTTTGATATGGTACGTTAGCACGGGCAGTGGACAGTCGGCTGGTTGCTAAAGACCCGTGAAAACCGCAGTGACTGAGTTCAAATCATGGTTCAACCTTTTGGACAAGCTCCCTTAGTCAGCCCTGTAACTCACCAATACTATTTTCACTGCTTCCCTATTCCAAACTAATGTCTTACTGATTATACAACATTTCCTCTCAGTGAACAGCTTCAGGTGAAGAGTTGCAACCTTTATTATTCTATACCAGGCAAGATGTGGGACGGAGGGGTACCCCCTTACCTGTCCAATGCCTACACACACTCTGGACTATTGTTACCAAACACATCCCCCCTAGAAGTCTGTAAAGAATTCCTGAGATTCCGAGCAAACAATGACCAACACAAGGGTGGGGGGGTTCTCTCCACCCCATATCTTGCTTCAAATGTATTATTCCATGCATCACACTTTTAGTTCTCCTACATTTGGTGCTCTTTTGCCTCCTGATAATGGACTGAGCATACTGCCAACCCCCACATGACTTCCCTGGATCTTTTAAGAACCTCCCTGACAAACATGGTACAACTACGGTACATACTAACTCATATGAAATCAACACATCATTAATACTCACACAAGGGCTCTCTGCCCATGACTATGAGGAACCTCTGTGCTTCTGAAGACAAATTCCTGCAAATATAAAAGAGATTGATCAGTAACATCAGAAATTTTATATGAAATTATTCGCAAGTTTTAGAAAGCTTGATCAACACTCACAGAACATTTCATAAGAAATTACATGTAAAGGGTCCGTGCAAGACATTGTTTTAACAATCCTCATCCTTCAAAATGCACTGCTGTTTCAAATAACTGGACTAAACGTTTTGCCTGGCTATTATTGTCCACGTTTTTGGTCTTTTATGCTTGCGCCTTATTCTTCACATGGGTTTTTGTTGTTTTGCTCTTTTTTCCAAAGTACTAAGAAATATGTGCAATACCTTGCAAGGAGTGCACAGTCTGATTGGCGGTAGCCTCTTGCTTATTAAAGTGAGACATGGCGTAAGGCCTCTGCTCCCAGAAAAGATCCTGTTTAACACAGATTCCACCACTATATGTACAATGTACGAGTATACTAATAAGAATTGAAAGGCTATTGTGACATAAATTGAATACACTGGCATCACCAAAAAACACAACAAATATGCTGTGGGCAGTGTGGAGGGTATACATCCGTAAAAATGCTCATGTTTAAACAGACACCTGAAAGATACCAGTAAAATATGTGCGCATGCGTACAACGCTTGGCAAATGAGAACGCCCCATTGAAATTATGCGTAGCAGTCAACGTGTTAATCACTTAGTTCATGAATTCTTAACTTTGAATGTTTTTTTGTTTACACCCATGAAATTTTCTATTTATTATTTATTTCTTTATACTGTGCATATATTTACTTCAATATCCAGATATTTCTCACGGGTACCCTCTTGCGAAAGCAAGATTTGTTGTATTACGCTTCTGCTCCTAGGTGAGATTCCATACCAAATAATTTTACTTAATTATTGATTTATTTACTGTCTTAGTTGTCCTGGATATTTCAAAGGTCAAATGTTCTCATTTCATTTTCTTAATTTCCAAAAATTATTTGTTTTGATTTTGTACATTTCTGTTAACAACAGGTGTTGGGTTGAGTCCACAACCTCCGAGGCCAAGGCCGAGTCCAAGTCCTGGATCTCCAAGCCAAGACCGAGACGCTACTATTCGAGGCCAAAACCAAGGCCAGAGTTTCCGAGACCAATGCCAGTTATTACTCACATCCATGTATATACATGTATATAACATAACTCTACACTTAAATGTGATTTTCTCTGTTTTTTTTTAGCACTGTAGGCTGGACGCAAAATTTGTGCAGATTCTCAAAAAACTGTGGTACAAGACAATATCATGACAAACTTGTTTAACCCCTTCGCGCCGGAAGATGGTAAGAGCCACCGTAAAAATTGAGATCCTCAGCCCACTTTTCAGCTATTATTCTCAGCCCACGCTGGAGCGAACATGGTGAAAGAAGGCAGACCCTTGCTCTTGTATATATGGCGATTGGCCTTTGTGTGTAGCCCAGAAATGAAATGACTGAATTTGCATCATAATCACCAGCTTCACAATAGTCCCCACTTTGAAAAGAGGCAACGGGAATGTGGAAGCGTATAGAGACAAGCGTGGAAGCATGTACAGTATAGAGACATGGTACAAAGTTGCCTGTAGACCTGGCTATGTTTATCCTGTCGTAATTATGTTAATAACCTGTTACATCGGGTTAGGCTTGGATTTTAGTCAAAAGTTATTGATGACAATTGTCATGACACTAGGTTGCTGTTTAATATCACTTAATATAATACAATAAAGATTGCTTAATGGTCTAATTGCTAAAAGTACTGATGAGCAGTACTTTTACAGCTTATGACTTTGGGCATTTTTTGTTAAGAAAATGAGCAATATTCACAAAACTTTGAATGGTTTAACGTTTCCTGTGTCAACTACATTGTTTTTTGAAGTGCGCAATATAAATGTTCCCGTTGTTGAATTTAGAGCTTTTTCATCATTAGTTGAAGTTGATATCAGAAAGTTAAAGAATTCTGTGCTAAACTGGCCGCTTATCTTGATCCAGCCCCCACAGGTTTAGTCATTGATTGTGTAGGTGTTTTACTTCCAATCATTACTGAAATTATTAATAGATATTTGGAAAGGGACATATTCATTGACACATGGAAAAATGTTATCGTTACTCCGATTTGTAAACAAGTTGATGTCGACTTAACCCCAGAAAATTCAAGTCCTATTAGTATCTTCCTCTTTTGTCAAAAATGGTTAAGAGGGCAGTACTGAACAGTTTCACAATCATCTCACCCTCAATGGTCTCTATCAACCATTTAAATCTACTTATCAAAAAATGTTAGTTACAGAAATGGTTTTGTTACGTATTCAATACAATATTTGCATGAAACTCAATAATCAATTATAGTCTTGCTAGTGTTACTTGTTGAAGTGCTGCCTTCAACATGGTCAATCATGATATTCTGTTGAATGAATCAGATTAAATGTAAGTTTGGTGTCACTGGCTTGGTTTGAATCTTACTTGTGAGGATGCAATCAAAATGCTTTTATACATAATTAATATTCTGATGGGTTTGATATACATGTAACATATGGGGTTCCACAAGAGTCCTGTTTACATGTGGGTCCTCTGTTATTTACATTGTATGCATCTAGTGTTTTCTGATATCATTCAGCCCCCATCTTCTTAACCACTTGCCGCCGGGGACTCCGGTTTCAGTCACAGTGTGTTAACCACTTCCTGCGGGGGACTCCGGGATTGGAGACGTATGGTTTATATGGGTGGCCGGGGTCTCCGAACTCGGACAAAGGAAACAGGGCCCTGTAACCAAAGACCGTACTCCAAACAGAAGACAGGCTGCTGGGCATTACCGATATTTTTCATTCTCAAAAGTGGTGATAATCCAGCCTTGTTTTGAAACCATATACCAGGGTTTGGGGCATTGAGAGCGAGTGGATTACCACCAGGGACAAAAGTGCTCCACCACCGCAGCGATGAGCCACAGAGCACCGCTGCACGCTAATCTGGCCCCATTGAAAAGAGGTCAGCAGTGCACTAAGCCAGGTTCGTGAACAAAAGACAGTTATATAACACCGCACAATCTGGGCTCTGTTTACAAGGCTGCAGGCCTGGCTGAAATACTTGGGTGTCAACTTAGAGAAGTGCCTACAGATTACTTGGTGCGGCTATAAACGACCGTTAAATGAATTTTTGAAGGATTTTAAAAACGGAAAAAATGATAGTCATGCCGGCCCAGCATCATCAACATTGAAAAATACCCTGGCATGAAGTGGTTAATATGTGTGGCCAGGGGTCTCTGAAATTGGACAATGGGAACTGGGCCTTGTAACAAAAGAGCGTACTGGGAACAAAACACCAGGCTGTTGAGCATCACCGACATTATTCCACTCTCAATGGTGGAGATAATCCAGCCTTGTTTTGAAACAGTATACCACGGTTTGGGGCATTTAGTGGAAGCGGATTACCACCAGGGACAAAAGCACTCCACCACCGCAGCGATGAGCCACACAGTACCCCTGCTCACTAATCTGGTCCCTATTGAAAAGAGGTCAGCGGCGCACTGTGCCAGGTTCGTGAACAAAAGAAAGTTATATAACACTGCACAATCTGGGCTCTTTTTACAAGGCTGCAGGCCTGGCTGAAATACTCCAGCATCAATAGATGTTGTCTGTCAGCTTAGAGTAGAAACCAGACAGTCCTTCGTGTTGGTGTAAGTGTCCAGTAAATGAAGATAGCCATTTTTAAAGAAATTTGAAAACAGAAAAAAAAGATCATTATAAACACTGATGAATGTAACCGGCACAAGGTGGTTAATATTTATTGCTATGCGGACAACATGTAATTGTACCTTTCCTTTAAGCCTGATGAATCATTTAATCAAGATGCTGCTGTTACCACTCCCGAAAATTGAATTTCGGATATTCGAGATCAGTCACGCCATGATAGGTTACCAAGAAAACAGAATTGTTGGTTTTGGGGACCAAAAAACAACTAGAAAGGTGCACATTCCTCACATCCCAGTTGGTAATTTCTTTATTAAACCAGCTCATTCTGTTGAAAATTTGGAAATCTGGTTTGATTGTAAACTAATTTTGGACAAACAAATAAAGTCTGCTTCTCAAGTTTTTTTCTACATACATAACTTGTGGCAAATAAGTAAATATTTAAGTCAAAAAGTCTCTTAACACTTTGATTCATGCATTTGTCACCAATCACCTGGACTATTGTAATAGTTTGTATTTGGAATTACCAAAGATTCAACTCATTAAGCTTCAACAAGTTCAAAACACAGCTGCTAGGTTGGTTGGCTAGGTTGGTTCAACATGATAATAAATTCTGTCATTATACTCCTTTGTTGATGGACTTGCACTGGTTGCCAACTGAAGGACAAATTTTAGCTGTTTCGGACACTGGCCAAAACAGCTTTTGGTTTCATAAAAAAATTTCTTTGTCTGTTTGGGGGCTTTTCCGCATTGCGCACTATGAGGAAAAGGCTTCGTTTTTCTTCGTCTTCCAGTACTTTTTTTAATCACCTCTTTTCACATTAAACAAAGTTGATGAATTTGAAACTTCACACATTAAAGTATTATAACAAAGGTCATTTGCAAAACATGACATCATGCAATCATCACCTGATTTATGATGGAATTTTAAATATTTAATATTTCCCTGTGTTTTATACATGTCTTCAACAGCCATGGACGGTGAGCGAAACTTCCATTCCTTTTCCTTATCACCTTTTTGGGCATTAAATAATGTCATATGTGACTGACTCTACAAAAAGGTGTATAATGTCACATTTTTGGGATTTGGAGTTATATACATGTATGCTATCAAATTGCTCACATCCTAAGCTATCATCTGATATATAATTCATCCCAATGGCATTTTGCCTTTTTTGAGTTATTTGTCATTTGCGTATTCATATAATTTCCTTTTATCACACATGCTTCTTGAGATAATGCTCTTTAACCCTAATACTCCTCAGTCCTCCAACAGGTGAAGGATTGAGGAGTGTTAGGGTTAATATAGTGGACAGAACATTTAACTTAAATTAGA